TTGCATTTGTGTAGTATCGGATCTCTTTTGGGACAGTGCATTCCGCTAAAGCCACAACACGGTTTGGTTGCCTTTTTGACGTGTCGTTTTCTGTTTTGATGTTTTGTGCCGTTTTTACTCCAGTATTTCCCTAATTGTTTTGATTGTGTGTACGCTTCACGTGCCTAAAAAGGCGAAAGAAAACCCGTTGACAGTGTCCAATTGCAACCTTGCCTACATTCATACAGCGGAGCTTGGCGTCAGACGAGATTGCTTAAAGGTTGATCAGTTTGGTTCAAGTTTCTCGAATATTTTTGCCGGCGAGACGACCTTATCCCTCAGTCTTTCGATATGCAAAGCGGATGAGTCGGAGCCGAATAATTGTGTATATATGTATGTACATGCATACATACCATTCTATACTATATCACAATAAGAATAATAATGATGATGATAATGCCTTTCATTGCCACCATCGACTGACAGGCAGCCGCTGGGTAGAGTCCAGGGTAAAATAATATTGTCAGAAACTGAATACAACTTGAAGTTTATTGCACTATGGCTAGGGGGCCACAGTGAAGTAGCTGCCAAGATAAAAGTGAGTCAATAATCTTTTATGACATCCAATTCGGCGCTTATCAGAGGCGGGAAATAAAAGCTTGGCTAAATGATTTGCTCTCGGGTGTCTGTTAGGGAGTAGGTAGTACGGCGGGCAGAGAATATTCCAGGAATGTCCACATAAGCCTGGCATTATTGTAATTTTCCGTGCCACATGCATTTGATAATTTATAATTCTTACTTCCCGATAACTTATTTGATCAACAGGAATTAATTGAACATTTCAACTAAATTATAGCGCGATAAACAAAAAAAATAATTGCTCAAACTTCGGCAGGTATTCTGTCCCATATTTACCTTTGACTTTATTAGTTTAGCTGGAGGGACCAGTTCCCGAGGCTGTCTTTAACATTGACACGAAAAGTTCATACAAAATATTTTCACACCAACGCGCTAATTTTGCGCCTATGATGCGCTTGATGAAATAAATGTGCAGAGTCAATCAAGAGAAACAAGCGCGATCAAACCATAACAAACTAATATTGAAACGATGGTTTCCAAGCTATTTTGTTGCCAATGTTGTTAACTGTCAGGCGATCGCTTAGTGACTGATATTAAGCCAACGTTTGTGCTTGAATTTGTGGCTGCGACGGCGTCGTCGTAGCGGCTACACGTATAAGCCCCCCATCCTCTCACCGTAAACTTAGATATGTTCAAACAGCCGGGAGCTCAACTGGAGACTCGAGATGAGAGAGGAGAGTCGAGCCGGTTGGCACAATTAGCGCAATGGACAATAAACGGTACCATGACGCAGATGGGGCGAAGTCGGCCTCTCTCTCTATAGTGCGAGTGTGTTGGACCGTGTGTATTGGTGATTTATATACATCATTCAGACTTGGGCATTCGGCTGCCAGACAGGTCTGGTCTGCCTTCGTCCCACTACTCATACGCAGCGTGGTACATCGATTGAAGGAGGCGGAGAGGAGAAGGCAGGGCACATGTGGGAGTTGTGATGCAAATCTCCTCCTTATCTAAAGAAGATTACACGCAGTTATGGAATGTGGTCAAAGATATGCCAAACGGCATTAATTTGAGTGGTTCCAGCTTCCTATTATCTTCCAAATAATTTATCTTATTGAATTTCTTCGAGGAAAATGTCTAATGTCATACTCCATTCTTTGGCTCATCCTGTATGCAGTACAGTCGCACCGTCGGCCAATATGTATCTATTCACCCATCCATATTTTATCCCACCAATTCAGTAATAATTTGTTTAGCAGTATCGAAAAATAATTTGGAGGACGAAGTCATTGAATACTCAATAATTTCGAACGGCTGTCTGCTCTTAGCCGTACACTGTTCCGAGTCTGCTTTTTTAGACAGAGACAAGTAGTAGCTCATTTTTGTTTCGTTTGCTTGTCGACGATTGTTAGTTTTTGTTGTCTACCCATAAAATATTAACTGTTCAGTTGTTCTTGCTTATATTGTTGTTGATCTTATTCTGTTGATTTTTGGGTTCTACTTACGAGGACCTAAACTTATTGTGGCTTAATAAAGTTTAAGTCGTATAAGTATCTAAATATACGGCAATGAGGACACAACATGCTTCCTTCTCACTTTAATACTCATCCGATTTCGAAATTTGTATGTGGATCGGTATATAACGCATGTCTTATCGCAATGCTTGCATTTTGAAAATGATCCACTACAAACGGCTAATGGAAAATTTTGTGCCGAGGCACAGACTGTAAATTAAATGCATTTCTCACGTGATTTGCATTTGGAATTTTTATACCCGGTACTCGAAGAGTAAATAGGGTATATTTTATTTGTGCGAATAACGGTTGTATGTAACGCACAGAAGGAAACGTTTCCGAACCCATAAAGTATATATATATATATATATATATATATATATCAGCATAAACAGCCGAGTCGATTGAGCCATGTCCGTCTGTCCGTCTGTCTGTCCGTCTTGTTTGTCGGCTAGTTCTCAGAGACTATAAGAGCTAGAGCCACCAAATTATGCATCCAGACTTCTGTATGCTCACACTGTTACAAGTATATTAAAAAAATGAGCCCCGTCTCCTTCCGCCCCCGAAACCTCCCAAATCTAGAATTTTGAATATAAAAGAAAACAAAAAACGCCCTTCTGTAGGGAAAGACTTTATCTATCAGATCACCATATTGGGATACGATTGGATTATTATTATAGCCAGAATGAAGAAATTAATTTGAAGTGGCTAAATCCACCCTGTTCCGCAGCTTATATTTGTTTTTTGCACATTCATTCCCACTCTGCTTCGCTCAGTGTGCGGCCTCTGTCCCTGCCGTTACCCTGCCTCTGCCTCTGCAGTGACTCTGCAGTGTGTGGCTCTAGGAAAGGGGGTCGAGCTAAAGGAGCGTGTTGGCGTGAGAAGTGTTGTAGATGTAGATGACAGAGAAAGAAGAAATTTAAAATTTGACAAAAAACCGCTTAGGTACACATGTAGTACTGAGTACCGGGTATAAAAGTTGTGACGCGTAAGAAGCGTCTCACACGTCCCTTCTTGTTTGATTTCGAATATTGCCGGTCACTGATTTATGGAGGCATTTAAAATAAAAATGTCAAGTTGAAATTGGCCGAGTGCAAGTATGTGGTTTGATTTACACCTAGTACTATTATGATCTCATACCCCCAACAATGTCTCCAATCTCCATTAGCGTTGAGGAGTTGACAAGAGCCTTTATCATGTATCTTTAATTACGGGCACCAGACGTACACATGATATACACGCAAAGATCCACCGTTGCATGTGAGCAATGTTCTTCTTGACGCCCAACAAAAGCATATTGCGTACACGCACGCTGTGGGAAAGCCTTGGATAACACTACCCGACACCATTTTCCCGCTTCTAACCAAAGAAACTTTTTTTATGCAATTTAGGGCATTTCTACGTCAGAACTATTTTCTGTTAAATCTGTTGAGAGTCGGCTGAGCTAAATCTAGTTGACAAACCCTTAATTTTCCGTTAAATACCGACAAGGTTCAGGCCTTTTTTGAATTTTGGTATTTGTTTCAGTATTTTTCGCGCACTGAAGCACTAACCAAATACTATTTGATTGAAGCCAGAAATATTGTATAAGTTGGACCAGCAACCTACTAAAAGTTTAAAGTTTATTTCGACTTTTCTTCATTTATATACCGGGTACTCGAAGAATAAATAGGGAATATTGTGTTTGTTCACAAAGTAAATGCATGTAAAGCACAGAAGGAAACGTTTCCGACCCCATAAAGTATATATATTCTTGATCAGCATCAATTACCGAGCCGATTGAGCCATGTCTGTCTGTCCGTCCGTCTGTCCGTCTGTCCGTCCTTATGAGCGCCTGGAACTCAGAGACCATAAAAGCTAGAACCACCAAATTTTGCATCCAAACTTCTGTATGCTCACACTGTTACAAGTGTATTTTAAAAATGATCCCCGCCTCCTTACCTCCCAAACCTACAATTTTGAAGATAAAAGAAAACTAAAAACGAGATGACAGAGGAAGAAAAAGTGTAAAATTTGACAAAACCCCGCTAAGGTACAGATGTAGTACTGAGTACCTGGTATAAAAGTTGTGACGCGTAAGAAACGTCTCACACGTCCCTTCTCGTTAAAGTTTAAACATCGTTAAAAATACCTCACCAAATTCATAAATTTTGCATTCGAAAGCTAAATATCCCAGACGGTAAGCTGATACCAAAAAGTGCTTAGATCAAATTTTTAGCTGCATCAATTAGCTTTTCAGATTGGCAATGTTCTTTACAATCAGATCTAACATACATACGTTATTTGAAAACAAGAAGAAAAATACCATATAATCTACCATTAATCATTAACAATTTGAATGCCTCAAATCTATCAGAAAAATTTGGTATGGTTCGAAGCGTAAATAAAAAGTACAATTTGGTCGACTAGTGTAATTATGATTGATAAGCTTTAGGCAAAGGCTTCGTTTGTGAATCAACGAGAAGAAAAGACGAGACCCTTTCAAACAGGTCAAGAGCTTTGGCTATAGACGTTGCAATGTTGACTTAACGATTCCTTATCGAGTGAGCGTAGTGAATTTTGAAAATATTTACCACAGTTGCTGTTCGTATTGACAATCTCTATTGAGCTTGATAAAGTTTTATCACATTAATGGGGAATTAACGGCCATGAAAGCTAGATGGGTGGGTTCTCAAAGTATTATGGAAGCTTAGGGCAGGGATTCGCAATTAGAATACAGTTTCCACCACAGCTACACGTGGATGTGTGAACACATGTGATACATGTGAACAGATATCGCTCAGCTTCGGCTTATCTCCTCCATCAATCTTACTCCAGGGCACGTCCAAGTGAGGCAACTCATTACTTAGATACCTGGAAAAGATTTATTTCAGTTTATTCATAAAAATCGCCAAAAAAAGATGTGTGAGCCTCCATCTCCATCTGACCAACTGAGCTAAATTAAAACCAAAATTAAATTTGAGACTTGCTCGGTAAGAGATTCGCAACACAAAAATCGAAATCGAACTGTGTTTATTATTATCGCTCATGATAATGAATAAACACAATTAATAAGTATACTGACGTGCTTCCGCACTTGATTTCCGGATCTGTCTTCTGACACTGCTTTTGGGTTCAGCTCAGATCGGACGAGTTCAGCGCTCAGTAATTGACTAATTAATATGCAGACTGCGCTTGGCATTAGCTCTAAAGATTGTCGTTTCAGATCTCGTCGGATTCCAAGTGCTGTCTCTGCTTCCACGGCTTAGTCATGCAACGGCACTGACCTTGCCCGATGTCAAACACCCGTATCGCATTTTAATTTGATGCTCTCTGGGCGATCGCTTTTGGGTGTTGTCATGGCTTGTGGCGGAACAGAAGAGTGGGATAGTGAAGGTAGGATCAATAGTTTAGTAGGCGATGAGGATGAGACAGGCAAAACAAACTTCCGTGACATGTTACGAAGTAGCCGGTTGCAACTTCATGTTCATATTCTCTTACTTTACTTGTTTTATGAAGTAATTTCAGTATTTCAGTGCTTCGTTTCTCCGGACACGCCCTTAAATATACGCATAATATATTTGCATTTTGCAAATTACATGCTCAACAAAGGCAGGAACAGCAACAGCAACTCCATCTGTTTGACGTTTTCCGGTTGCCAGCAACAAAATAAAAGTTTCTACATAACCACCCGTACTTACAAATTAATGTAAACATGTACATATGTACATACATAGGTAGTAAATATGTACATATATCTATATTTACAATATATCCCCCAGAAAAATGTATACTTTCCAAATGATTGTTGAACTTGGGAGCTTCCCAAGAAATATATGCTTCCGCATAGCTCAAGCGACGACATGATTAATGTGAGTTTTGCATGCATTTTCAGTTCCCAGCTGTGTGTGCAATGAAAGTATATTTAGATATAAATTGGTTGGTATTTAATGACTGTAATTATCAGATGTTCGTAGATTTGACGTGAATAAGTGCATATGCGTCAGCGAACCGATTAAAAAATAGCTGAATAATTAACGTAATTTAAGTTATTTGGCAGCTCAATAGAATCGTCGGCCTTATATAAAATCAACCAAATTGGGCACGGTTTTTTTTATGTTTGCGTTTCTCTACGTTTCTCTAAATGCTCTTTTCGGCTTAACATTAGGATCATGGCATTTCCATTCACTCTCCCGTGTAAACGGGCTTGCGTTTCTCGGCAAACGCAGCGAGTCCCTCCAGACGGTCCTTTGTCGGTATTACTTGAGCATAGCAGACTTCTTCTATGGAGTATCCAGTGTTAAGGTCGACCTGCATGCCCTTGTCAATGGCCAGTTTGGCCATGCGCACACCTACTGGTCCGTTTGGCAGAATTTCCTCGGCGAGCTTGAGGGCCTGCCGGTAAGCAGCATCCTTTTTTTCGTTCTGATTTACAACATGGTTGACGAGACCTAGCTGTTTGGCCTCATTTCCATTCAATACTCGAGCAGTGAAGATAAGTTCTTTCGCCAGTGAGGGGGAGAGAATGCGAGGCAGTCGCTGAGTGCCGCCGGCGCCAGGGATTATGGCCAGACGCGTCTCTACTAGACCCATTTTGGCATTTGAAGCTGCCGTGCGTATATCGCATGCCAGGGCCATTTCCAGACCACCACCCAAAGCAGCGCCATCCAATGCGGCGATCACGGGCATCGGCAATTGTTCAATGCTAATGAGCAGATTTCTTAGACTGGAAACAAACTCGCTGGTTTCCTCGGTGGACATGCCTGGAATCATAATAATTATTTTCGAAATCTATACAATTCCATCAATGTAATTCAAACCTTTCCGCTCCTTCAAATCAGCGCCAGCACAAAATATGCCTGGTGTAAGACTGCGAAGGACAACAACCCTCGAACCATTATCCTTCTTAATTTCGTCCAAAATTTCTCTAAAGGTATCTACCAATCCACGGCTGAAAGAGTTCTTGGCTTCCGGCCTATTGAGGCCAAGAACTGTAATTCCTTTCTGTACACCCTCCAATCGTTCGACCAATACTTCATTAACGCGCTCTGATGGAGCCTCAACGGCAAAATTACGAGCTATCTGCCGAGTAAATCTGGCAGTTCTATTCGTTAGATACATATTAATAACCAGAAATGAACAATTAAGGAGAGAAAAGATAGGGTAGATTGTTATAACATCGGCGATAAACAGCTGTTGCCGCCAGTGCTGGAAACAGTTACATTTATCGTCACTAACCAAACAGTATGATGTGTCAGTTCAGACAAGCGAAACGTCACAGTTGACGCTGCGATATGCGTACCCCAGATATGTATTCTGTCTTGAAGTTCTATTCTGAACTTCGCATGCGTGATTATTTTTAGTCCAGTCCAGTCCAGTCAAAAAAATGTGTTGTAGTTAAATGAAACTAAAGTCGATTTGCTCAGAGTTGTTAGGGAACCTGATATTAATCACCTTAATACGAGACAATGAGTATCTTTCTGAATCATATTTTGTAAGTAGGTACACCTAATTTTTAATCGACTAAAACCCATCATTTCATATGGTACGACTACTAACCGGTGCATTAAGATCGTTTTTTCAAATTTTCCGGAGAAAGAATTTTTTTTTATATTTGAACAAGGCGGTGTGTCGAACCTAGGCGATGTCGCGTGCATTCTTCCGCGTGTTTTCGTTATTTTTTGCCCTGAATCGCCGTAAAAGCTTTTATTAAACCCATCTTAGAATCGTAAAACCATCGGACATTGTGGCCCTAATTTTTTGGTGCAAGGATATTTGTTCATTCAATATATGTACAATGTCCTCCGCGACCTATTCGGAAACTCTAACAACAACAAGCACAACCGGAAACCCAAGCAGTTCTTTGCACGTGTATTTACATAGTCACACTTGCAACATTTTTGGTCTTCTAATGTGCGTTTGGAAATATGCATAAATTAAGTTTGTAATATGGTAAATAATATTATATAATATAATATTTCCACCATAAAACTTGTACGATAGTATTATATAATACAAAACATTTATACATCAGTAATCTACTAATATAGCACGTATCTCCGTGTAGAACCTCGAGACAAATGGGCCATACACATTTGCTCCAGCTGCCTGGGGTAAGCATTCGCAAAGTCAACTGTGACCTTTAGCTTGTATGAACTCATACATCTACTTATATACTATATGGTATCGTGGTATCGTACAAACTCGAAGTTTCATTGTCTTTACCAGGGCACTAACCATACAGTATACTAGATTCTACACTGACTGGAAGCGAAATGTCACCGCTCAGTGTGTGTGTGTTTTAGTGCGTGTAGAGCACGCAGCAAATGATGCGCAATAAGCGCCCATACTATACTTTACTATCAGATGTAATGCAATTTTTTTGTTTTAACCTTCGTTTGCAATCAATCCAAGAAAGATACGTCATAAAAATAAGCCGTTCGTGTGTAGAATTGAAAGTTGATTTGAGTAAAATAACATTTTTAAAAGTGAGATTCCTAACCAACTGGTAATATTAAACAGAAGATCAAAGTGGAGAAAAATTATTTAAGATCTACGGTATATATACAGTATATTTCGAAAATGAAAGAGTATATTTACGGAATATTTCCGAGGGTCTGTCGATATATCTTATCGATAATTCCGCGGAATGGGGTAACATTTTTTGTAAAGAATTGTTTAGTCAAAATTATAGTACAATTCTGGGGCAAAAAACGTCTGAATAGAAGTGAAACAAAGTCATTTTTTCATCACAAGGTGTACGTGCACACAATCATTACTCTTAGTTTTGCGCCACAAATCATAACGCAACAATAGACAACACCTGATTGAGTCTAAAATTGAGACAGCGCGCCGTGTAAGTGCCAAAATCCATGATATGATATAAATGTTATATATAATGTACACATATGAAATTTTCAGAGCATTGCTGCGTGGAGCAGGATGCTGTTTCGCAGCGTGCAGCTCCTGCAGCGAAGACACCAGCAGTTCGGCAGAGCTATTAGTCACTTGTCTGCCCGACATGCCACCGGCAAAAGTTGTATGCAAAATGATTTGGAAATCTTCAAGGCCCAAGCGCTTACGCGTCCCGGCATGTTCTTTCAGTTTCGCTGTAGTGCCGGAGGCAGCGATTCCAATAAAAAGGAGAAGCTGGCGCTTGATAAAGTCGTCGGACCTGTTCAGGAGTCGAAGGAAGAGACGAAGGATACTGGGCGCAAGACGAATGTTATACAAACAAAAAACTTCGAGGTAAAAACTTCCAAAGGGATGCTAACCATCAGCACGACCATTGAAGACTCGAAGATCAATGAGATTGTATTCGAGAAATCAGACACATCGGCCATCAATATGATGTCCAATACGAGTACTACTGTAGAAGGAGGAACCAATAGTACAACTGCCCCTGAACCCCCGCCTGGCTCCACTACATCTGCTCCTAAGTCGCCGCCACCTCTTAAGGACACCAAGAGCAGTCCGACAGCACCACCTGCAGAGACTCCACCTGTTGTCACACCCGCACCAAAGCGCGCACGCTTCGATTATCGAGCCTCACTAGAACGCAATTTTGTGACTCCTGGGAGAGCAATTGCAGATTTTATGTTAACGGCTGCTGACCTGGACTCTCTATCGAAGATCAAGAGGAGATCTCCCTACGAACAAGAACCTCCCATGACCGTCTATTGGCGACGGGATGTGGAGGCAAAAGCTGTTGAAGTATGGGGCTCCAAGGAGAACCTTCTGCGCGAGCGTCTCAAGCGAGAGGTGGAACGCAAACAGTACCAGCAGAGTAAGTGCCTTCCTGTTACACTTACATATTTTACCAGTTGATGGTTTTGCTACAAACCGAAAATCCTACAGATTTGTTCACTGTGAAACGCCGACTGCGCGACTATCGCCGGGAGATTGGTTCGCGAACCAAAATAATGATAGACAATCAAAAAGAGTCGGAGAAGTCTGGCCAAGTAGTGGCCACAGCCATTGCTATGTAAGTATAAATAAATTGATTGTCAAGGTAGACGATTTAAATAAACGCCTCCTTCCAGCAATGCGGCTAATTTGCTCTTTAAGACAGGTGGATGGGTGTACAGTGGCTCCCACAGCATGTTCGCCGAGGTCATTCACTCGCTGGCTGATCTTATTAACCAGCTTATACTCGCTTTTGGCATCTACAAATCCTCGCAGAGTCCTGATATGGACCATCCCTATGGTTACATGAACATGCGTTATGTGTCTTCGCTGATCTCAGGAGTGGGCATCTTTTGTGTGGGCTGCGGTCTGTCCATCTATCACGGCATTGAGGGCATTCTTCATCCGCAGCCCATCGCCGATCTTTTTTGGGTCTACTGCATTCTGATGGGCTCGCTAGTGTCCGAGGGCGCTACCCTCATGGTAGCCGTAAATGAGCTGAAGCGTGCGGCCCGTGTAAATAACGTGAGCTTCAAGGAATATGGTTGGCATTATTCTTAATCATCTGGAAGCTCTAAAAGTTTCTCATATATGTACATATATATCTTTTCACTGATCAGTTATTTCCGGCAAGGATCCCTGCGTGAATGTGGTGCTTTGTGAGGATGCCGCTGCCGTGACTGGGGTTATTGTAGCCGGCACCTGCATGGGACTGAGCAGCTATACGGGCTCACCCATTTTCGACGCCGCAGGATCGCTTGTAATTGGCGGTCTGCTAGGAGCCGTGGCATCTTTCATTATTTACACCAATGCCAACGCCCTGGTGGGTGTCTCCATTTCGACCGACCGCTTGGAGAAGATCAACAGTGCGTTGGAGGCTGATGTCATGATCCGAGCTATCTATGATGTGAAGGGCATTGATATTGGCAATGCTCGTGTTAGATACAAGGTGAGACTCTGACCTTGGTGTTTTTAGCTGACATTGGATTTAATTCCTATGTTCTTGCCACAGGCTGAGCTTGACTTTGATGGTCGTGAGCTGACGCGCTCTTATCTGGACAAACAGGATCTCGCCAAGCTACTTACCGTGCGTAGTCTTGATATATTTGTGAGATTTTCTTTAACAGCTTTCTTGTTCGGTTTCCAGACTGTTCGTGGATTCCAAAAGGTGGAAGATTTGGAGATCTTCCTGCTCGCCCATGGCGAAAACATTGTAGACCTCATGGGCGGTGAGATTGATCGCATTGAAATGAATCTTCGGGTAAGTAACACTGGATGCCCTCTTACTGATCAACAGCTAACCACTTATTTTCACCAATAGACGCAATTTCCGGAAATACGACACGTAGACCTTGAAATACTTTAAGACCGATCCGAGAGATTGTTTAATACAAAAAAGCATTAGGTGATTGGATGCTTTCCATAAGAAATGATTGTCTGTTAAGTTTATATTTGTTTTTATTGTCCACTAAATCTATCTAGTATCATTAGCATTAAATGTGTTTGGCCAGGAACCATCTAAATTCGGCTGGCTGAAAGATACGGAAGGATACGGCCCATGAGCTTGTAGTTGAATTAATTGTGCTTATTGAATCACTTCCTCCTTACGTATGTAAAATAAATGTAATGAAAATATGTTTGTATGTACTAAAAGCAAAAATCTACGAATGAAAAGATTTCAAAAGCATTGTTCTTTATGTGTGCGAAACATGGTAGGGCTATGTGTACTATACTTACATCTGTATGTACATACATAGATATGTGGTATATTAAAATAAATATGGTGCATTTTTAAACTGAAGAAAATTATTTTTTTCCATTCTTAAATATCAACCCAAAGTTGTTCATAAAGTTTGGTAGTGATGGGATGAAGGGATATCAATTTTAAGTTGGGATTGGTGATGGGAGCGTTTAATATACAGTAAGTACACATATTATTCGTACACCATCATTACCTAAGTTCGAACACCAATAACTTGGCGTACGGTCAACGTAAACAGAAAATGTTAGTTTTGTATCAAAGATCAACATATCTCCTATATGTTTATAAAGAAAGTTTGCCTATCGTTTCACCTTTGTTGGAGTTTACCTTTAATATTTGAATTTTACTTAAAGAATCGGACGGCTTTTTTGCTTATTTTATGTTAGTTTTTATAAGGATACCGTAGAAGAAATTTAAAAAGTTTTTTTTATAAACTAATAGTATATATGTAGATCTTTGATACAAAGTTAACTTTTTTTTGTTTACCTTGACCGTCCGCCAAGTTATACATAGGTGTTCAAACTAGGGTAATGACGGTGTACGAATAATATGTGTGCTTACTGTACGTATTGCCACCGCCGCTTACGACAAACAAACAAAACAAAACAAAAGTTTAATTTAATTAAATAGGCAGATAGGTGCGGAAAATTCTTAAAAATTCGCACACGGTGTTGCAGTGCCCTGTGCGTCTATTTAAAAATACATTCCGGGCAATACAAAGTGTTGTGCCGGGTATAAAATTGTACAGAGAAAATTGTTGACAATTTCCAATTGTGGACCGGTGAAAAAACGTGGGGAAGGCTGCAGCCGCTGCTGCTCCCCCCCCCCCCCCCCTGTGTGTGACGTGTGCTAATATAGCATATAAACATTAAAAACAATTGAAATGGGACGGAAACCTGGCCCCAAGTCATCCAAGAAGTCTAATGCTTCTTTAAGTGCTCCCTCTTCGGACAATGAAGGTATGGTAGAGAACTGTATGATCGTTTCCCCCTGCGCCGTCGATCGAGCCCCGCTCTCTGGTGTGGGAAAAAATGAACCGCAAACTGAGGTTGGTTTGTCGTACGATATTCCTCTGACTCGAAGATCGGCCTCATTGGTAGATCTTACAAGTGATATGCCCNGTATGCGCTGCCTATGACTGAAAAACTGCAGTCAACAGGCAGACTCATACAATATTTTTAAGTAAAATAGCAGCCCCATGAAATTGTAATATTATGCTAAGTATAGTATAAATACAATAAAATCCACCTTATCGTAACGTATACTGGCTCCCCTGAACCTGCTGGTTCAGGTCCAGGATGGAGTTGGTTTACGTTACGATTAGACACTTTCGTATTGCCACCGCAGCATACGACAAACAAAAACAAAACAAAAGTTTAATTTAATTAAATCGGCAGATAGGTGCGGAAAATTGTTAAAAATTCGCACACGGTGTTGCAGTGCCCTGTGCGTCTATTTAAAAATACATTCCGGGCAATACAAAGTGTTGTGCCGGGTATAAAATTGTACAGAGAAAATTGTTGACAATTTCCAATTGTGGACCGGTGAAAAAACGTGGGGAAGGCTGCAGCCGCTGCTGCTCCCCCCCCCCCTGTGTGTGACGTGTGCTAATATAGCATATAAACATTAAAAACAATTAAAATGGGACGGAAACCTGGCCCCAAGTCATCCAAGAAGTCTAATGCTTCTTTAAGTGCTCCCTCTTCGGACAATGAAGGTATGGTAGAGAACTGTATGATCGTTTCCCCCTGCGCCGTCGATCGAGCCCCGCTCTCTGGTGTGGGAAAAAATGAACCGCAAACTGAGGTTGGTTTGTCGTACGATATTCCTCTGACTCGAAGATCGGCCTCATTGGTAGATCTTACAAGTGATATGCCCTCTACATCAGCCGCAGCAGCCGCTTTGCGTATGCCCCCCCCTGCTGCACCTGCAGCAACTAATTCATTTAATTCCGCTGCCACTGCAGCTAATCCCATTTTGAGTTCGAGTGCCATGACATTAAGGCAGAAGACTCTGACGGAGCTGCTTAAGGAGCAGCAGGCTAAGAATGCAGTCGAACTGCAGCTCAGCGCCAAACTCCGAGCGGAGTCTGACGCTCGAAAAGGGAAGCGCTCTGCTATCCAGGGCTCCATTATCGCGAAACCGACCGCGAAGAAGGCGGCTTCTATTATTTGCAAGGCTACCTACCGGACCCGATCCAATACTAATGCTGCTGCCACCCGTACGTCCAGCAACTTCTTTGAGATTCTATCGGACAACGAGTCTATGGCTGTGGATGACTGCAGCGTGGGAGAATCAATGCTGGAGGTACCTGTGCCCAACAACAGGCCCTCTTCAGACACCAGATCTGCCCCTGTTCCCAACAATAACAATAACAATGTCCAAAACGCCACTTCTGCTGACGCCAAAATTGTGCGGCCAGCCCCGATTTACATTCCTAACGTTACGGAAATTGTTCCCTTGCTGCAGGGCATCGACGCAGCTATTGGAGTGGGTTCGTACGATACGAAGCCCACTGCAAATGGATGCTTAAAAGTGACCTGTCACACAATTGACGGTCACAGGAAGCTGGTCCAAATGCTGAGCGCTAAGGATTCGGACGGACAGGGTGTCGATTTTCACACCTTTCGCTTGAGGAGCGACAAGGGTCTGCGCGTTGTTATACGCCACCTTCATCGTTCGACACCCACAGATTGGGTGTGCGGACAACTCAAAGCTATGGGACATGTGGTCAGGCACATTTCAAATATTTACAAGCGGTTCACTAAGGAACCATTGGATCTTTTCGAAGTCGAGTTGGAGCCCCAAGCTAACAATCCGTCCATCTTTGAGGTGACCGCTATCTGCAGCCAGCGGGTTAAAATCGAGAAGCCAATACGGTCTCCTGGAGTGCCTCAGTGCCACAAATGCCAGATGTTCGGGCACACCAAGAACTACTGCAGCCGTGCAGTTATCTGCGTTAAATGCGGGGACAGGCATGAGCCCAAAGACTGCCCCAAGAAGCGTGAGGAGGCACCAAAGTGTGCAAATTGTGGAGGTGCCCATGTTGCCAGCTACCGTGGGTGCACGAAGTTCAAAGAGTACTGCAAGAAAAGGGAAAGCGGACTAGCCAAAACTAACAATATGTTGTCGAGGTTAAATATGCCTACCTTACCAGCTGCAATGGGCTTGCGACGACCCCGCGTGCCACCCAATATGGACCAGCAGGGCTTTCCAAAGCTGCAGAAATCAAGCCGACGTCGTGCGCGCTCAGGCGCCAGAGCTCCAGCACCTCCTGTGCTCCAAGGCAGCTATGCTTCTGCTGTACGAGGTGGACAGCCTCAGAGTTCGACTCAACCCCTGCCTGTGAGGCAGCAGGTGTGGCAAAATGCGCCAACGTATGCCGATGTTCTGGCGGATGAAGTTGTTTCACGCCCTGGGCTGGGCAATCAGTCGGTCCATTCCAGTGATCTGAGTCGGAAGCTTGACACACTCATCAGCCTGTTAACTCAGGAGCGGGTCCAGCCAGCGGTGGCTGAAGCTACTCAGAGACTGGAAAACAAAATGGACCAGTTAGTCGAACAGATGACAAGGCTCACGAAATGTCTACTCGCCACAATTCAGGCCAATACTTTGGCCCGAAATGTATAGAACACTCACCGGGAATTCTTCTCGTCAAATCGGCACCAGTCGGAGCGATGATTGTTCGAAAATTGTATTTTGGAACGCCTCGGGGATTCGTGGGAAGACTGCGGAGCTGGAGCAATACATGTGCAGGCACGAAGTGGACGTCATGATGGTTTCTGAGTCTCATTTTAAAAACTCAGAAACCTTCAGCGTGCATGGATACTGCACATATACAACTCACCATCCATCTGGGTCTAGTCGAGGAGGCGCTTTACTCCTAATTAGATCTACAATCCCCCATATGTCGCTGCCTTGCATTTCCACGGAACACATCCAGGCTGCTGGTGTTCACGTGATGATGCAAGGTAGTATGCGTGTCAGCATATGGTCCATATACTGCCCACCGCAGCAGCAATGGACGGAGGAGGGTTTTGCGCAACTGTTTGGCCAATTCGGCTCGCATTTCATCGCTGCAGGCGACTGGAACGCTAAAAACTCTTGGTGGGGCAATCTTAGAGCTTGCAAGAGAGGAGGAACCTTGCTCAGGTCGATACAGAGGAGCAGCTGCAATGTTTTGGCTAGTGGGTCGCCAACACACTTTCCATACAACACCCTTCACGCCCCCTCAGCGATCGACTTTGCTGTGTATAAAGGCATCCGAGGTGAGCTGCTACACATACACGACCAGAACGAGCTTTCTTCCGATCATTTGCCCATGTTTATAGAGATCCGAGAGTCTCCAGCGGAGATTACTACGAAAAGGCGCCTGCTTCCGGTAGGCTCAAATGTGTCGACGTTCCAGTCCTGGCTGGACTCACACATACACCTTAACACGGAGTTAAGGTCAGCTGAGGATGTTGATGATGCTGCAGACATTCTGCAGAACAACATCATTCAAGCTGCTGAGCTTGCTAGGAGCAATCTGATGAAGCCCGTCCGACCCAGATTTCAGACAGAGGTGCCTTTGACGAATCGTGTCCGCCTGATGATCGACACCAAGAGGCGTCTGCGGAACCTGCTGAGGAAA